TTTCTTATATGTAACCCCTACCATTAGCCCCATTTCCCAAGCTTGGTGTGAAAGGTGGAAATAGGGACGAAACATGAAGAACGAAGGAATAAAAAGAAGAATAAGAAAAAAAAAAAAGAAAAAAAAATGTTTTCGTACTGTGTTTCTAGGATTTTCTATGTATCATCGTACTCGTCTAACATTTTTTATCGAGTTTAACTATAGACATAGTTACGTCCCTGTAAAACGTATTTTTCTTTCCTTGCACCAACGTGTTTTATCCTTTTTCTTTTTTTTTTTTCACATTTTTTTTTTTTTTGCTTTTCATACGAAATTACGTAATTCGTATCTCTAAAAGTATAACTCGTTATTTCTATATATATATATATATATTATACAAAAGTATATGTGAGATGAGATGATACATATTACACATACGTTCATACATATGTGTGTATGTACATACTTTACCTACTCAAAGTGCTTTGGGAAACTAGTCAAAGTACTTTTACCCATCGAGCTTTTAAAGTTCGACGCTAAATTTTATTTCTTTTTTTATTTTTTTATTTTTATTTCTTTTTTTTTTAATTCTCTTTCCTTCTTCATTTTTTCTCTTCCTTTTTTTTTTCTTTTTTGCATGCAAACGTCCAGAATCCTTTCTACGCATAGCATATTTTGCACCAAAAAACAAAAACAACAATAAACAACGACGACGAAATACACAAAAAAGAAAAAATATATTTAAATATATATATATACTGTAAAATATTACTGTAGTATACTACGTCAACGTTTTTAACGTGAAAATACACTCTAGGTTTTTTTCATCATCAACAACACCAACAACAACAACAACAACACAACAACCAACCAAAAACTACAACAACAACTAACAAAATGTTTGCTCTTGTGTGTGTTTATTTTACATTCTTTTTTCTCATCCTACATTTTTACTCATATGTATATATGTGTTTTAAGTTTAATGAATTAGGTGTATGTTTCACTGTGTTATGATTCACGTGAATGCACACACAAAAAAGGGAAAAGGGAGAGAGTTAGAAAGAGTGTGTGTGTGTGAGAGAGAGAGAGAGAGAGAGAGAGAGAGAGAGAGAACAATAACTCAAGTTTGAAGAAAGTTTCGAAACAGTTGAATGAGACGATTCATCCCCCCCACTCTTTCCTTCTTCTTTCACCCTCTTTCACCCCCTCTTACCCTTCTCTCTTTCTGAATTCGATCCAAACGAGTGTTTATCGTCGGTCACACCGCGTAATGTCCACTTTCGAGAAGGACAAACTTATCTGAAGTAAAGTTTACAGCGTAACAAAAGAGGAAAATCATGGAAAAGTCGGTTACCAACACGAATACGGCAAGTATTCGTAGTTTTCCTTTGGAAGTGGGGTAAGGGAGTAGGGGTGGAAAGGGGAATGGGAAAAGGGGATCGAGTGATACACGAGAAACAATGAAGTGTCCCTTTTCCAACTAGGAAGGAAAGTTTTTGGAAGTATACATCGAGTTGTTTCTAAGAAATTTTATCTTCTCAACCCTTTTTTATTTGACTGTATATATATATATATTAGGATTTTCCGGTCATACATTGCTGTAGTTTTGTTTTAAAATGTTAATTTAGTATAATACTAAACTATTAAGTAAATTAAAATACAAAATAATACTAAAATTGCGATGTAATACATAAAATAATAATAATACTGGAAAAAAATTATAAAAAGTAAGGTTAGTTATGTGTTATGTAACTCTGTAAAAAAACGTAAAATAATTGAATTGTAATACAACACCATTTATTGAAAACTTGCAGAACCTAGTTAACCTCTAAATAAGAAATTCCTAAATTAGCGATAAAAAATAAAACATAAACGCCATAAAAAACTATTTTGTATTCTAAATTGGAAAAGTTTAGTAAATTATAACAATGCACAAAATAATACTAAAATTGCGATGGAATAAATAAAATAATAATACACGAAAAAATATAAAATATAAAAACTAGGGACTTAGACAACCTCTAAATAATAAATTCCTAAATTAACGATAAAAAATAAGAAATAAACGCGATAGAAAAACTATTTTGTATTGTAAGTTTTAAAACTTTTGTAAATTATAACACAACACACAAAATAATACCACAATTATACAATAAAATACATAAAATAATATTACAGGAAAAAATATAAAAAAACAAGCTTAGGTTATGTCGTCTATAAATCTAAAAAAAAAAAAAACGGGGAATAATTGAATTGTAATACAGTATTATCTTTTGTAAACATACAGAACCTACCGACTTAGATAATAAATTCTTAAATTAGCGATAAAAAATATAAAATAAACGCGATCAAAACTATCCTATATTCTGAGTTCTAAAAAATCACACAAAATGAACAAAATTTCATTAAGATTGGTTCAGTAGTATTGAAATTATTACTGGACAAACATTATGACACTGAATTTTTATACAGAAATATATATGCAAGAGGTTAAAGGGGACCTTCCACTCTGCAATTTAAAAAAATTTATTTTTTTTTCTTTATCATTTTTCGAATGTATATATATGTAGAAATATTGTGTTAAAATTTCAAAAAAATCCGATGTCTCTAACTACATTTTTGGTGCCTGAACGTAAC